AAATTTCGTCGGCACTTTCCCACAGTCGCATCTAAGGGCTCGTGTTGCACACCATTATGAGCTTATTAGCCTTATAGGTTTGCAAGCATCCCCTCGGTACGGAACGTGACTCAGAGTGACTTTCCGGCAATAGAGTCAAATGCAGCACAAAACCGATGAGGCCAGTTGAACATGACTGTTGGAGTTTACAGTAACGGCGTCGAATTAGTCGTTGTGTAATGATCTGGTTGAAAACTGCTCTTCCGTTGGCAATATCCACACTGGTTTTAACGTGTTTTTCTGTTCTTCTCTGCCACAACCTCGGTCACCATACTATAGAACTGATACCACTGTAGTTTGAGCAGATGGTTTTGTTGCACTTTTAGTATACGGAACAGAATAAATTCTTTCCAGTCTTTGAGAAAACACTTTATCCCCCTATGTGGTGGAATTGTATGAATAATGGGTCCAGCATGGATAGCAGAAAAACTTTAGAGATTTTATTCTGTATATATATATATATTGGATGGAAATTTCCGCATCTCAGGGAGCACTTCTTTTGGGCATGCTGTTCTTATTCTGTCAAGCTGTGAATCGCCCCTATGAATATAGGCTAGCCTTTGTAGATTGGAAGCTACTAATAGCAACAAACTATCACAGACTAGAAAGTACACGATCGGTTTCAAGCAGATCTGATGAGCTGTAATGACTACCAAATCGGTCGCATGATTCCGGGTAAATCTTGCCCCGTCATTCATGCACTACTTTTTATGGTGATTGAGCAATTACGATTGGTTGAACTAAAACTTTCTTTTCTGTTCTGTTTCTTTTTAATAAAAAGAAAGTCCGTCTTTAGTTTAATTGTATCCTCTTTTGAAATAAAAATTCGCAAAATGCATCTCAGCTGGCTTTGGCCAGATTCTACCGTCTGGAAGCAAAAAAGCATTTGAAATATTGGAAAGATATCATCTTCAATTGATATGAACTGTTTTCGACTCACTTACCACTTTCAAACAAAGTCCATTATTACAGCACGAGCCACAGAACCCGAAGAAGCAGATTGCCATGACTATCAGACCAATCACGAAGATAGCCATACCGAATGGTGCTACAGACAGAAATCGTCCAGCATACATTACACTTTCAGTGCTCAATTAAAGCAACCAAAAATCATAACTTCGAAAATAAAGGTGGAAAATACGTTGTTAGCAGCAATCAAGTCGTAAGTGATCCAACATGGATGTATCTTGAACTATGTGGTAAACAAGAACATAGTCAAAAACTTTCCTGACTTAACATTTGACTACTGAAATTATTGATAGTATACGTAAGCAATATCACAAATATCCGCCATTCCTTGCGCACCTGTCTGAAGTTAGCCTTTAGCGCTGGGAAAGAACAAGGGTTGAAGATTGCTAGTGAAAAAAGTAGTTTCGTTAAAAGTAATCAATGGATACCAGTAGTAAACTTACAGAAATAATGAGTGCGCAAATTTGATCAAGGTGTTTCATTTTGCGGTCATTAAATATACGTTTGGATCTTGAATGTCTCGCGAAAAACTGTCCTGTTTAGTAAGTGAACGAAGGACTGAAAGAAACTTGTCTAGGAATGAATTAATTTCAACTCATTGAAGACTTCCGAGCAATATAAATGGCTGAAAAATTATTCCCCTATACTATCAGTAGGTTACATATATCAGAAATTTACTTTATGTTTGCTCCATTTGATTAGATGACGTAAAACAATATGAACATAATTTAAATTGGTCATCCATTTCGCCTGCCATCACCCACCTGCCTGTGCATATTTGATCGGTAGGAACTTTAAAATTAGAATGCTATATGAGTAAGTTTATCATTTCCAGGTGAATCAGGTTTGACTGTTTGGTAATTAACAAATTCATTTGGGGTTGACCCAAAAGCAGGGCATAGAATACCTGAAAAGCGTTTGGGAAAAAATTAATAAGTAATATATGTGTGTTATCTTGATGTAACTATATACGTAACTCGAAAAGATAAGAAATAAAGCCAGTTCAATGTTCAATGTTCAATGTTCTTCAATTAGAGGCAGAGGGTAATTTCCCGTATGAGTCTCATCACCACAGACTCGAAGATCTCATTCATGATAGATCTGCATACCACATTGTTCGCAGGACGCTGTCGAGCTGCCTCTTGAACATCTTATCATTGACCTCTTCCACCACGTCAGCTGGAAGGGAGTTCCAAAGATTGGTTACCCTTCGCGATAGCCGGAACCGAAGAGGTAATCCTACGGACGAAAGCTTCAACAGCGTAAGTCCATGTCCACGAATCCTGGTCTGCTCGCGCAGTTCCTGAACACCATTGCTTAGCCGGATGTTGCTTGTGAGTAGTGGTATACTCGATATGGGTTCGGACCGATAACCTTTCATATTTCAAACACAATTCTCAATTCATCAAATCGATCACACACACTTAGTGCGTGAGATGCAATCTTCGCTCTCATTAGAACTCATCAGTAGCGCATATCCAATGTTCCTTCTGGGCTCTGAACATCTGACTCGTTGCATAGAATTCGAATGCGTTACTACTCTGCCAACCAGTTGATTCCTTGGCTGATCACGATGATCAATTCAGGTTTGTTTAGATGTTGTCTTCAGTGATACTTAGTCAGTTGTTTGTCAGAAACGAAAAGAAACAGCGCACTACCTAATAACTCTACTCGAACGATTGCGCCCATTCTGGACTTCAGTTAGGGTGGGGGTAATCTTGTGGCAGTTAAACTTACAAGTTAGACTTCGGAATTCACATTTACTTGCGGTTAGTAGTGTGGACTAGGATGTGGACTGATCATCCCCTCGATTTATCTTAACGGACAATCATTGNNNTCATTGATTCATCCAATCAACCATACACTCATCAGACACCTGACTGAAGTTTTGCTCATTGAGTCAGATACGCATCCTGTCTTTTATCTTGATAAATAAAGCAACAAATTACTGCCTTACAATGGTCTACCATCTTTCCGTCGGAGTGAAAAAATG